TTACTACTCACATAATAAATTTGAATTTTGATCCTTTAATCGCTTAGCATAACAAAAAAAATTGTTTATCATTAAATCATCTATTCAATAAATTATCAAACTTACGTTCCTGGTTTCGCAAGACAATGTTGCGCAGCTATCTTATTTACACAGTTATACTTTTTAAGAATGTAACATTTCACAAGTAAAAAATAAAAATTAAGACTGTCTCTATTTTCAGTGAAGTCCCAACAGTTACTATGCGAAATAATCCAAAATATTAGCTAATTGTCACGTGTTAGCACATATGGCCAATCATAAAGCAATATTCAATTTCATGTGATCTACCAATCATGAGAAAGTTAGTCTATAGACTTGGATCAGGCATTACCTAATCAGATCCATCCATAGATTCAGATTCGATGGATCCTATAGATCATAGATTCAAACTGGATCCGGTAAACGGATCTGAATTGGATCTGGATCTTCAAATCCATTTTGCAGAACACTACAGTTATGTTTACATTATATAAAGTGAAAATTAAAATATTGACATGAACACAAATAATTTAAAAGTAAGTTTATATATTTATGAGACCAAATATTATGTTAGCATCTTATTATTTGTAGAAAAAACTTATTGCAGAAGTTAGCATCTAATTGTAATAATTTACAAATGTTGATTCAACTAATAGTTAAGTGATTAATATGATTAATTATATAATATATAGTTAAACTCATTTTGTGTGGTTTCAAATCTCTAATCAAAAATATATTAATTTAATATTGATATTAATATAACATACTATATAATTATTATACATCACTGATTATAGTACTTCAGATATTATTAAATAAACTATTCAACACAAGTCAAATAAATATATAAAAGATAAATAACAGTTTGTTTTTTATATCCTAATAGCTATTTTTTATTTATCTATTTATAATCTGTTATGCTACAATTATTTGATGAATATAGAGTAAAATAAAAGATAAATATTAGTAATATATTAAAGTTAAATATAAGTTAAATAAAGGTCTTCTTTTAATATTCTATTATTTATCTTTTATATTATAA